CCCCCCCCCCCCCCTTTATAGTAACCAATTCCTGGGCCTCTGCTAGCTCAGGCACCATGCTGGCTGGTCACTTCACAGATTTACTGTGTGCGTTTTACAGGTGAAGAAACTGAGCCTCAAGAGAAGCCAAGTGACCTGCCTAAGGTCCTAGAATCTGAAGGTCATGTGTCTGAGCTTTGAACCCACACTGGTCTCTGCATGTGCCCTAGGTCTGCCTCTCACTGCATTTGTCTTCCCGGTCTTTGTCTTTCTGAGTCGTGGTTTCCCCTTTGTAAAACCGGGGTAAGAATGATGATAGCTTTCCTTAAGTGTTTTGAGGATTAATCGTGATGCTCTCCATAAAGCACTTTGCAGTAGAAGTTAGTAAGTGCTCAATAAATGGCTTCTGTGGATATTGTGATATTCTCGGCTCTCTCTGCCTGGGCTCTCTGGGTAGCAAGTATACTTTACTCATCTCCGTATCTGCAGACCCCAGCAGGGTGCCTAGCACACGGGAAGCGTTACAAAAAATACAAAGAAGAAGATAGCTGTCCTCCTCACCATTATTTCTGTGTTTCGGCTGACCACGGTGAACCACTCTGGCCCGAGCCTGACGTTTGCAGGGCCTGGGGCAAGGGTACAAACAGAGGCCCACACACCAAATGTCCAAATATTTAACTGTTATTAGCCAGGCTAATAACTCATTAAATAAAATAGGTTCTGTCCTCCTACCTTGACAAATACGCTTTCATCATGGCCCAAAAGGCCAAGTTCCAAATTAGAACTCTCTAATTCCTCTGAGCAATGAACTGCCCGCCCCGCCCCACCCCCCCTCAGCTGTATCTGTAACCCACAAATAGGCACCCCGTAGTCACTCCCCAGACCTGTAAGCGGGTACCTTGCTGTGTGGTCCACTTTCAGGAACTGAAGACGAGAGCTGTTACAGATTCTGCTCAGTTCGCTCTGCTATGTGAGGCTAATGGCCCGGGAGGGGTCAAGAAGTCCTAGATGCACCATTGACCAGCCCAGCAACCTTGGAGGAGCCCTGACACTCAGCCGCCACATCCGTAAAATGGGCCAGCGGCGCTGCTGCCTGCAGCCCAGGGCTGAGGGGAAGGTCCACGTGAAAACAGGGACGTGCGTCTGCCTGGGGTCCCCCCAAGCCTGAGGAGGGGGTCGCAGGCAGGCCGGCCGCTCCGACTGGGGGGTACGAGGATGCAGAGGCGGGACTTGGGCAGCCCTCCAGGAAGTCGGGCCTCCGAGGATCCCGGGAGGAGGGGCTGCTGAGCCAGCAGAACTGCTGAAGCTCAGCCTGGAGTCGAGCTGGAGGCCGCCTCACTGCAGCCCGGGCTGGCCCCCTTCCCAGCTGCGTGGCAGTCTCCACTGGGGCCTGCGCAAGCCCTGCTCCTGCCCACCAGCTGGAGGTGCCCCTCCCAGCCCCCCAGAGCCCTGCTGCCTGGTCCCTTACGTATAAAGTGGGGATGGCAAGGGGACCGTCCCCACGGGCTGCTGGGAGCACCCAGCATATGTCAGCTGCCATCGTTCCTCTCATTCTCGTAGACGCCACCTCTGCAACGTGCTCGGCTGGCGCTTGCTACATAAGACAGGGTCAACAGCCATGCCTCCTGTCCCCTCTTTCCGCCCAGCAGAGATGCTGGAGCTGCTCGGGCTGGGTGGGGAGCCCTGCCCGGCCCAGCAGTTACCCCTAGGTGTGGGACATGTGCAGTCCCCAGGCTGTACCCAGAGCCCCCACAGAAAGGACAAACAGTTCAGGGCCTGGCCCCTGGGCCACAGGTGGGACCCCAGAGGTACCTGGTGGAATCTTCCAGCCTTCCCTCAGCTCCAGCCCTCCCTCCTGCCTCCTGCTCTCAGGCTCCTTCGTGGGTTCAGACTGTTCCGGATGTCTTTTAGGTGTTGGGGCTCACAGAGCTCCCCTGCCAGCCTTCTGACCCTACGTATTCATCTGCCGCTCCCAGAGCTGCCTGGGCGGAGCTCCTGTACTCACAGAGGAGGATGGAGGGGACACGCAAGGTGTCGGGCTGCCGAGAAGGGGCAAGGTCATGGGAGAGCTGAGCCCAGCAGGATGGGTTTTATCATGTTCCAGCTGTGTGCCCTTAGACGTATGACTCTACCTCTCTGAACCTCTGTTTCCCCATCTCCAAAACCAGCGTGGTTTCTCCTTGGCACAGCCATTGTGAAGACCAGATACCTTCTGACGGTTTCTCAAAAAGTTAAACATAGAGTTACCATGTGACCCACCAATTCCACTCCTAGTATACAGGGAAATGGAAACACATACTCAAAAAGAGATTTGTACCAGCACATTCACAGCAGTATAATTCGTAGTAGCCAAAAAGTGTAAACAACTCAAGTGTCCCCCAGCGGATGAGTGGGTAAATCAACGCAGTCCAGCCACACAATGGAATCCTATTGGGCCATAAAGAGGAGCGAAGTGCTACATGCGCCCCCACCACCTGGATGAACTTTGAATCATCATGTTCAGTGAAAAAAGCCATATATCGTAGGATTCCATTTATATGCACTTTCCGGAACAGGCGAATCCATAGAGACAGAAAGTAGGCTGGCGGTTGCCAGGGGCTGGGGGTTGAGTGGGGAGGGGTAAGGGGGAGAGAGGGCACGGAGGTACAGGGTTTTCCTCTGGGATGATGAAAATCTTCTGGAACTAAACAGAGGTAGTGATTGCATAGCACCGTAAATGTATTAAGAGCCATTAAATTGTTCCCTCTAAAAATGGTCAATTTCAGGAGTACCTGGCTGGTTCAGTGGGAAGAGAATGTGACCCTTGATCTCAGGGTTTGTGAGTTCAAGCTCCATGTTGGGTATAGAGATCGCTAAAAAATAAACAAATAAAACTTAAAAAAATGTTTTTGAGTTTATGTATTTATTTTGAGAGAGAGAGAGCGTGCGCGGGAGCAGGGTAGGAACAGAGAGAGAGAGAGAGAGAGAGGTAAAGAGAATCCCAAGCAGGCTCTGCACTGTCAGCACAGAACCTGATTTGGGCTTCAACTCACAAACTGTGAAATCATAACCTCAGCCAAAATCAAGAGTTGGATGCTTAACCCACTGAGCCACCCAGTCTCCCCAATAAATAAAACTTAAAAAAAAAAAAAAGGTTAATTTCATAGTGTGTGAAAACAATTAAAACAAAAACACGCCCAGGGGCGGCTGGGTGGCTCAGTGGGTTAAGCGCTGACTCTTGATTTTGGCTCAGGTCGTGATCTCACGGTCTGGTTCGTGGGATCGAGCCCTGTGTCAGGCACTGTGCTGATGGTGCAGAGTCTGCTTGGGATTCTCTCTCTCTCCCTCAGAACGATGTCAAGTTCTTCTGCTGTTGTCCACTCTGGCAGGATGGAGCACGTGGCATCTGGAGTGGACAGAGGGAGAAAGCAAGCCCAGGGGAAGGAGGAAGGTGGGGAAGGTACTGGAGGGAAGGTTCCTGGGACCCAGGGCCCAGCGGCATGGTGGGGGGATGTGGAGCCAAAGGAGGGGAGGTGTGTTACTGTGTTTTTAAGTGTGGTGGGAAGAAACCGTGGGATTTTTGTTTTTCCATTTAAGAGGATGAGGCCACAGCGCATGGAGTGTGGGCGTGCTAAATAGAACAGGAAGCATGAGGGACCCCAGTTTTGGAGGGGTCATTGGGCAGAGGGGGCAGACAAGAGGGTCAGGCCAGGGCTGAAGAGGACTGAAAGAGCCCAGACTAGGATTGCCATTTCTAGCAAATAAAACTACAAAACATCCAGTTAAACATTTGCATTCCCCATGGCCATCATTAGCTTTTTAGTATGAGTATATCCCGTGGAATATTTGGGATATACTTATACCAAAAAAATAATTATCGTTGCTTCCCTGAAATTCAAATGTTAACTGGGCGTCTTGTAATTTACTTGGGCATCCTAGACGGGCGTGGGGAGCAGGGGATGGAGGGAAGGGGGTGGGGCGCAGCCCCCCTTGGGACCAAGCCTGGAAAATGGGTAGCTGTCCGAAGGGTGGGGTGCCCCAGTGGGGAGAAGGCTGAGGCCAGGCCTCACGGGGGCCTCCCCCCGCCCCAGAACGTTGGTCTCGCCCCACCCCCCCGCCTAAGTCTCGTGGTGTCGCCCAAGGCCCATCGATAACTCTACGCTCGGCCGCGGCCTCTATCGACTTGCTCCGGCTCCGCTCGCCGTCCTGGGCCGCGGCGGAGCGCAGAGCCGCGTGTAAGGTACGGGGGCCGCGGGGCGAGGGCCGCAAAGCGGCTCCTGGGTGGCCAGGAGAGAGCGCCTGGGTGAAGGTGGCCCAGCGGGACGCAGCCAGGGCTGTCGGCGAAGCACCGGGAAGCCCGAGGGTCGGGCCAGAGAGCGCCCCCTCCCATCAGGCCTAGCCGCGGGCCTGCTACGCATGCGCAGCCGCAGGGCTCGGCTTTCCTCTCCGGCCCGTCCGCTTCCTTGCGCATGCGCGGCCCGCCCCTGCGGCAGAGCGGCGCCCCGGGCGTGACCGCCCCCTGCCGGCGACGGGTGGGGTGGCGTCCTGTCCCGGTCCGTGGGGCGCGGAACGGAGCACGTGCCTTGGAGCTGGGAGCTGTCCGTAGCTTGTCACGCGTTCTCTGAACCTCTAAGCCTGTTTTCTCATCTCTAAAATGAGAGTGACAATGCCTGTCTCTCAGCACCCAGTGGACCCAGAGGGTGTTCCCTAAATACTGCACCTCCCTCTCTTGTGCAGATGTTATGACCTTTGACCCCCTACTTTTCAGAAGTCGGGTCCAGTGCGGTCCCAAGCCTTCTTCCACACCATGAACACGTCCCCGGGCACGGTGGGCAGTGACCCGGTCATCTTGGCCACTGCGGGCTATGACCACACGGTGCGCTTCTGGCAGGCCCACAGTGGGATCTGTACCCGCACGGTGCAGCATCAGGACTCTGTATCCTCCACTCGGGGAAGGACGCCTGGTGGGGGGGGCAGCTTAGGCAAAGGACGGGTGCCTGGGGTGGGAAGGGTGCAGCAGCCGAGCCAGACGGTGGAGGCCTCGAGGGTTCTGGCTCCAGGGTTCCGTTCGTCACGCTCCTTAACAGACCCTAGCAGGTGAACGCACTGGAGATCACGCCTGACCGCAGCATGATCGCGGCTGCAGGTACCTGTACCCTCGATCCCGACCCTCCATCTCTGCTGAGCCTCTCCAGGCACAGCCACTCTTCAGTTTACCCTGTGCCCCTAGGTTACCAGCACATTCGCATGTATGATCTCAGCTCCAACAACCCCAACCCCATCATCAGCTACGACGGGGTCAACAAGAACATCGCGTCTGTGGGCTTCCATGAGGACGGTCGGTGGATGTACACGGGTGGGGAGGACTGCACTGCTCGGATCTGGGACCTCAGGTGTGGGGCCGTGGGTAGGAGGGGCCTGCTGCTGGTTGTGTGGGGCTGGGGGCCAGCCAGGAGACCGTCTCGGGGCGGGGCCCTCCAAGCAGAGGCTGAGATGGGCTTTCCCTTGCGGGTGATTTATTGAGGGCAGTGACAAAAGGAGGGTAGCGCAGGGGTGAAGCCACACAAAGACGAACCCGGCCTCAGCCTGACACCGTAGAGAGCTCTGGAGCATGAACTGCATCAAGTGCCACCTTGAGGCCAGGGGCCGCCCCTGGGGGTGCCGAATGCAGAGAGCACGTTGTGGGGCGCTGATCGCACCCACTACAGCGTGTGCCCCGCCCCAAAGGTCCCGCAACCTACAGTGTCAGCGGATCTTCCAGGTGAACGCACCCATTAACTGCGTGTGCCTGCACCCCAACCAGGTGAGGGGTGCGCGCGGGGCCGGGCACCGAGGTGTGCAGGAGGGCGGGAGACTCCCGCCCTCCCTCACCTCCCCTGCACCCCAGGCGGAGCTCATCGTGGGTGACCAGAGTGGCGCCATCCACATCTGGGACTTGAAGACCGACCACAACGAGCAGCTGATACCCGAGCCTGAGGTCTCCATCACGTCTGCCCACATTGACCCCGATGCCAGCTACATGGCAGCCGTCAACAGCACCGTGAGTCCTGGGTGTGAGCGCGCGGGGGAGGCCAGCTCCACCCGGCCCCTTATCCTCCTTACTCCTCCGCGTGGCTTATTCCCCAGATGTTCCCTCACACTCCCCCACCCCCCGCAGGCCTGCTCCCCCCACCCTGGGCTCCAACCCAGCCACCAAAGCCAGAAACCCGGGTGTCGATCCTGACGCCCCCTCTCGCTCCTACCATGGCTCATCCAGCGGCTGTCACCTCCACCTCCAGAGCCTCTCGATTCTACTTCCCTCTCCTCCCCGTCTCCTCCTGGTCCCAGTTTGGCTTGTGTCCTCGCACATCGGCTGCGGCCGCTCTGTGTCCTCCCTCCGCCCTCACTGATATTCTCCACCCCTGTGCCACTCTCTCTCAGCTGCCTGAGGGCTCCATTCTCTGCACAGACCCCCTAGGTGACCTGGCTCTTCACCCTGGCCTTGGGACGCTGGGGTTTAGCCCCGATGCCCCGTCTGGCCTCATCTTCTCCCTGTAATGTCCTTACATCTCAACAGATCAGCTGTCCCATGGTGTCCCCCACACCGCCCTCCTTCTGTCCCCACTGTCTGAGAGGCCCGACTCCCTTCTCATTCTTCACACTCCCATTGGCCGGCAGCACTCACGAAAGCCAGGCGCGGCCTCTCGCTCTCAGCTTGCCGGGCAGTCTGTGCGGGCAGGACCAGAGGTGCCGGCCACACGTCCCGGGCCCCCAGATCTCTGCGTGTTGGGTGGCAGCCCCTGGGTCTGGGTCCAGCTGCCAGGGCAGCCTTCCCTGTGCGTCAGATGGAAGGCTCCGGGCTTCCCATGACTCCCCGCCTGCTTGCAGGGGAACTGCTATGTCTGGAATCTGACCGGGGGCATTGGCGACGAGGTGACACAGCTCATCCCCAAGACCAAGATCCCTGCACACACCCGCTACGCCCTGCAGTGCCGCTTCAGCCCTGACTCCACGTGTGTGCGGGCTCAGGGGGCCTGATGGGTCGGGGCCTGCCTCGTGGATGGCGGAGGGGTGCAGGGTGGGAGTGACTGCTGATGACACCCCTGCCGCACTCACGCCCCTCCCTAGGCTCCTTGCCACCTGCTCGGCTGACCAGACGTGCAAGATCTGGAGGACGTCCAACTTCTCCCTGATGACAGAGCTCAGCATCAGGAGCAGCAACCCGGGAGAGTCATCCCGAGGCTGGATGTGGGGCTGCGCCTTCTCGGGGGACTCTCAGTACATCGTCACCGGTGAGCCCGGTGTACCCGGCCTGTCCGTCCCCATCCCCGCCAGCCCCCTGTACTCCTGCCCTGGGGCTGCGTGCTGAGCCACTGCTTACACCCTCCCCGCAGCCTCCTCTGACAACCTGGCCCGGCTCTGGTGCGTGGAGACAGGAGAGATCAAGAGAGAGTACGGGGGCCATCAGAAAGCTGTGGTCTGCTTGGCCTTCAACGACAGCGTGCTGGGCTAACCTGGGCCGCCTCGGAGCCGCAGGCAGCTGTCCAGGCAGCGCCTGCTGAATACGTCTGTTCAGATGCCCGGCTCAGAGGGAACCTCCACCAGCCCAGGCCAGCTGGCCCTGCCTGGCTACCCTGGTCCCCTCAGCCGGCTTCCAGGGGCCAGGCCGGTATGGCCTGGGATCCTCTCAGCTTCCAGTTGCTTAGGTGGATGTGACAGGCAGCCGACCTGAGCCAGCCTACTCTCATTTCAGAAATTCCAGAGCCACATGACTTAGGGGATCCGAGGCTGGTGTCCCGTCCCAAGCCAGTGTTCCCTCCACCGCCTGCCCGTTCTGTGTACTGAACCACAAAGAACACCGTTATGGCCAGGTGCAGGGTTTATTAGCCCCGCCGGCAGCCACCTTCCTTGCGACTGATGGCGGGGACGGCCAGCTGGCTGGCCTGTGGGCCGGGCCGGGCTCTGAACTCAGTCTGGGAGGTAATAAAAGCAGACTGACACGCAGACGTTGCTGGGGAAGCAGATGTCAATGCACAGGTAGACCAGCCGCTGCCTCCGGGGTCCTGGGGGAAGGGGTCTGCTTGAGCCCCAGGGGGCTCCTCACCCTTCTCTCCAGACTGTCGTGCAGGAGCCCGGGCCTCTCAGCACAGCCCCAACTTACCCTCTGCTCGACGGGCCCAGTAAATGGGCGTTTTCGTGCAAAGGTGCCGCACCGACTCCCCCACCTGGGCGGGGTCCACCTCACGGTCCCCAAGCACTGCCAGCAGCTCCTGGACGTAGCGGGTGTCCTGGCTGGGGCCGTGAGACCCTCGGGCCTGCGGAGAAGACTCTGGTGGGCCATGGCACTGGGGCACCTGCACTTGCCCTGCTTGGGGCAGGGCCTGTCCCCTGGACACACTGGCCCTGTGCCGGCACCACCCTCAGCTCTTGTCAGCAGCCTCAGCCAAGGGAAGACAGGGCTTCTGTTCCCTGAAACCAGAGCTCCGGCCCGTTGCAGGGCCGGGCTGTACACAGGACCCTTTGTCCCCTGGCCCCGGGAGCCTGGCCGCATGGGCCGCACGGGGCTGCTTACCTGTGAGCTGTTCACCAGCAGCTCTAGGGTCTCGCGATCTCGGGGTTCCATCGGGCGGAGGAAGCAGGCCCGGTGTCCTGAGGGGCGGTAACAGACGCAGCCCTGGGGAGGCAGGCGGGTGAGGCAGGGCCACCTGTACATCCGTGGGTGCTGACCACACCCCCAGCCCACTCACGCTCTGCCCATCGAACAGCACCGCCCAGCTGTGGTTGCTCTGAGCTGGGGTCACCCGGATGGTCGCCACGTTCCGGGCCGCATCCACCTGGGTGGTTTGGTTGGACCGGGGTGCCCTGGGGCCCGGGAGGGTCAGACGGAGCATCTGCAGCAGAGGCTGACATCAGGAAGCCAGAGCTCAGCTGGATAGGCCGGGGCGGCCCCCGACACGCCCCCAGTTCTCCCTGTGAGGTTTCTGACCCCTCCACCCGCCTGGGCCTCCTGCCTCTGCTCAGGGCCCTGGCTCCACTGGAAGGCTGGGATGTGCTGTCCTCCCCCCACCTCCCAGTGTCTGTGTCCCTGGCTGGGTCCTGAGGAGGAGCTCACCTTGGGAGGGCTGTGAGCGAAGCCAAGAAGCCCTCCAGCCACGACCCCCGCAGCGGCCAGTGCCAGCAGCAGCAGGAGCAGGCCGGGGGTCTTCCAGGGCTTGGCCTTCACCTGGGGGCACATCGCAGTCCGTGGGGCCTAGAGCAGAGACCGGGGAGCAGGCTGGTTCGGGAAGGCGAGGGGTGGGAGGTGGGCACTTGCGCTCCTGTCCCCTGCCCAGGTCAAGCCCTGGGTCTCTGTCCCTGGAGAGGGCACCGGGTGTTTGGAGGCACTCACCTGGCCGGGCCCGGGGCTCTCCTCGCAGCAGCCCGTCTGCTCCATGCCGCGGCCCTGGTGACAATGCGCTGATTGTCTGCTGCCCCTTGCAGTCAGCTGGGGAAACCTCGGTACAGTGATGAGCCGACAACCATCCCGGCCCCCTCCTCTCCTGCCCCCCTTGCTTCCCGCCAGCCCAGCTACCTGATATCAGGGTCAGAGCCGGGACAGCCCCCATCCTTGGGGTGGGGTGCTTGTCACTGAGCCTGGCTCTTGGACACCTGGCCTGTGCTGACTGGAGACTGGAAGTGCATGGCTGTCCGGGAAACCAGTTCCCACTGATTGGCACCGAGGGCGGCCCAGGCAGAATGTCTTTAGTCTGCTTGGGGACGGGCTTAAGTTTTCTAAAGAGGCTGTTCCAGTCTCTTTACTGTTACTTCTGGATTCCTGGGGCTCGGCTCGTGGCAAACCATCAATAAATGCGTTTCATGAATGACCGGTAAGGGAGTCCACGCTGCCTGTGTCCTTCGATCCCGTGTCCCCCCAGCCGCTTCCCAATTCCTCAGACGTAGCACGCAGGTGTGAGACCAGGACGGGTCCAGGCAGCCTACTGGAGCCCCCGCACACCTGGGGCTGCCGGCCCGGCCCTGCCCAGGGTGGTTTCCTCTGAGGCCCTGCTCCCAGCCTGCGTCTCCAGCTCTTCAGGACGCGGGTTGTGACAGGGCTCCGCCAGGCACGGGCAGCTCACAGGATGTGTGCTCCCAACAAGCTTCACACCCTGTGGTCCTTGCCTGTGGCTTTCCTCTGTGCCTTTTTCCTAATTCCCCGGAACCCACTCACCCGCCCCTCCGTAACGGGCCTGGGATGCGGTGACGTCGTGGTGGTCGGCACCCCGGCTCTGGAACTGCGATCCCAGAACACGTCCTCCTCGGAGCCCCCCACACCCACACTGGGCGAGGCTGCTGCAGCCTCTGCACGAGGGCTGCTGTCAAAACACGGGCAAAGAACGCCAGAGTCAGCGCAGGTTTGAGAGTTTAATACAGATTTGGGTTCACACAGTGCAACAGGGAGAGAGATGCGGCGCACTTGGGCTCCCGGGCCGCTGCCCGGCGGAAGTGTTGCTGGCTGCCGCACCTGCCGCGTGCTCCTGGTGTGGGTGACAACGCCCTGACAGGCCTGCTCAATATCCAGACCCACCTTGAGCCGACCTCGCAGAGCCAACGTCAGCACCACCAACCTCACAGGTGCTGGCCGCCCTCGTGCTGCCCCGCCGCAGAGTTCAAACCCCAGACACCCCACCCCGGCCCTGGGAAGAGCTGCAGGCTTGGGACACCCTTTATTGCTATGAGAACTTAAGAGATTCAGTGAAGGAGCGGCTCTGGGGCTAGGAGAGAAACTGGGGGCAAATGCCAGTGGAATACAGGGAGAGGCACCAGGAAGGAGTCGGCCAAAAGGAACAGCTTCCCAGGCCCTGCCCTACAAGTACGGCTGGACAGTCTGCTTATCAGGTCAGCAACTTAGGGAAGAGGCAGAAAAGGCCAGGGCCCACTGCCAAGAACCCTTGGCCAGCAGGTGGACCCAGCCAGTCCTTCCGCTGGCCTCCCACAAGGGGCTCCGGAGCCGACATAAGTGGCCTCGTGGACCACTGGCATCTCACCCCCACCCCGACAGGGTGCGGGAGGACAGGAAGACATCGGATGCCTCGTAAAAGGATTTCCTGTTCTTGGGGACACCTCTTTCCTCCCCACCTCCCCTCCCCCACAGGGCGCCCAGGGCGACAGGCATTCCTTGGCCAGCACATGCCTTTAGCCGTGCTGCTGGCTGCGGGGCACGGAGACTTCTCCAGGGGATTTTTCCCTACAAGACAGAGCACAGCTATTAATTAACACACTTAAGATTCAATTCCACCGTTTGACGAAAGTTGTTCAAAACTGTAAAAAAATAATTTTTGGTACCAACACTCCTCTGAGCTCTCTGCACAGCTGCCCAGAGTTCAGCAAAGGCATCCACACCCTCTCGGCTGCTCAGCCAACGCTTTGCTCAGTTCAAGTCAGCTGGATTTAAATGCACACTTGCAAAAACTGAGGCTTAGCAGGACGCAGTTGCCAGCACTCCGTGACCACATATGAGGTGTGGCAGCCCTGGGTATCCGAAGCGGAACAGACACTTGATTGTGACATCAGAGTGGTTTTTAAGGAAGCGTGGGGCAGTGGCGGTGAGGTCAGCACCCCGCGGCCCAGGGACAGGGACATACCCTGTCCTCCACTCCCACCCTGCAGGTGAGGAGCCGGGATCCCGGAGCAGGATCATCCGCAGACGACCACACAGACAGGCCCTGGGGCGCTCTGTACAAGTTCCTCACAACAGTCAAAATAACCGGACCGTCCTCCCCTCTACCCTGTATAGGAGGCCCAATCCCTGAATAAAATTTTCAATAAAACATGGAACATCCTAGACCTGCTTCAGTCCCATGAGCAGGTTGGGTAACCACCCTGAGGTGACCCGAATCCTGGACAGATTAAGCCTGCCCTTGTCAATGGCACCGGATGCCCAGGACCCCCACAACGCCCTCCAGGTTTAAAAGTGCATCTTCAAATATAAGCATCTGTAAACAACATCGCCCCCCAGACGTTTACTTACAAGGTTAACAACTAGTGCCTTTACTTAACTCCAAGTATACTCTCTGAAGCCACCTAGCTGAGCGGATGCTTAAGCCCCACCTATTCATTTGGGTAAGTGGTTTTCAATTTGTTTTATTCTGGAGATTAAAGACACTAAGTCTTTAACCTTGAAGGGCGGGCAGAAGGTCAGCTATGCTGTCAACATAGAAGTCAGGAACCATTCTCTTCTTAGACATGCAGTCACTTTCCTGATTACTCTTCACGTCCCCTAGAGTGGAAACGCCGGTGAGGGTCAGGATGGTCTTCAGACCACAGGTGACGCCCAGGAGGATGTCTGTGTCCAGGCGATCTCCCACCATGACGGTGCGCTCTGGGTCGATGCCGTACTCCTGGGACACGCAGTCGAAGATGAAGCGGCTGGGTTTCCCTATGATGTCGGCCTGGCGCTGGGCGGCCATCTCCACGGCTCGGACCAGACAGCCGGTACCTGCGGGGCGGAGAGGGAGGGGAGGAGAGCACCCGGGGTCAGAGGACAGGCGCGGCCGGCGGCCCGCCCTGAGCCTCCCGCCGCCCCCGCCCCGCACGGACCCGCGATGAAGCGGCCGTTCTCGAGCGGGAGCCGGTTGTCCATGTTGGTGCCTACGAGCAGGCAGCCGGGCTGCTGCAGGTAGCGCACCGCCTTGGTGAGCTTCATGTAGCTGAAGTGCGGGTCGAAGCCCACCACGACCGCGCGCACATCCGGATCGAGAGGCGCGTCCAGCCAGGCCCCGGGGCTGTCGCCCAGCAGCGGCTCGGGCCCCACGCCCACGCAGGAGACGCCCACGGCCTTCAGCTCGGCGGCCAGGGCCTCGCTGCCCAGCACGTAGGCCTTAGCGGCCGGTGCGCCCGCCAGGCGCTGGCGCAGGTAGAGCGCGGTGCAGTAGGCCGTGCCGAAGACCTCGAGGCCGGCGCCGGGCCCCGCCGGGCCGCCGAAGCCCAGGCGCCGCAGCTTCTCGGCGTAGGCCTCGCGGGTCTTGCTGCTGTTGTTGGTGATGAAGCCGAGGCGCTTGCCGCTGGCCCGCAGCGCCGACAGGGCCTCGGGCGCGCCGGGCACGGCCGTCTCGCCGCGCCACAGCACGCCGTCGCAGTCGAACAGCAGCGTGTCCACGTCGGCCAGCAGCGCCTGGGCCCGCTCGGCGCTCAGCCGCACGCAGCGGGCGTCGTCACCGCCGGCCTCCGCCACCGCCGCCATGGCCGCCC